TTGTGAATATTGTACCAACCTTGCATCCCCAGGTAAATCCCAGTCCATTGATCATGGTATATGATCATTTAATGTACTGATGGGTATGTAGCATGTATATGTTGATAAGGGGTAAAGGCTCATGGTTTTTTCTAGTGTGTTTATCTGCTTTTGGAAACAGGATAATGAGGGCCTTGTAAAAAGAGCTTGGAAGTCTTTCCTGATGGGTAAGTTTCATTCTTCTTCGAATGTTTGGTAAAATTCACCGGTGATGAAGTTTGGCCCAGGACTTTTGTTTGCTCTGAGTTTTTTGTTTGTTTGTTTGTTTTTTATTGTTTCAGTTCCCTTAGTTTTTATTCCTCTATTCAGGAAGTGTGATTCTTCTTGATTCACATTCAGAAGAGTGTATGTTTCTAGCAGTGTACCCATTTATCCCAGGTGGTCCAGGTTGCTGGCTTTTAGTTTTTCAGAATATTTGCTTACAGTTTTTCCATTTATGTGATGTTGATTGTCACTTCTATTTTACTTTTTATTTTATTTATTTGTGTCTTCTCTAGCTTGTGTTCTCTCTCTCTCTCGATTAGTCTGCTTAAAGAATCATCGATATATTTTATCTTTTCATAGAACCAGCTCTTGGTTTTATTAATCTTTCGTATTGTTATTTTAGACTCTTGTTTTGTTCATTTCCATCCTTACCTTTATTATAGCCTTCCTTCTATTTACTCAGTGCTTTGTTTTCCTCTTTCTAATTCTTTTGGGATAGGGTTAGATTGTTCATTTGGGATTTTTCTGTCTTCTTGATGTCTGTGAACTTCCCTCCCAGCACTGGTCTTGCTATCTCCAATAGGTTTCTGGTTGTTGTGTGTTCATTTCCATTCATTTCAGGGTATCATTTGACCTCTTTCTTGATCTTACTGCTAAGCCCTTCATTGTTTAATAACACCCTATTAACCCTGTATGCATTTGAATTTTTTTTCATTGTAGTCGATAGCCACTTTTATGCTTGGATTGGGATCCAAGAAAATGCTTGATATGAGTTCAGTCTTCTGGACTTTAAAGACCTATTTTGTGCCCTAACATGTGGTCCAGCATTGAGAGTGTTCTGCTTGTACTTGAAAACAATGTATATTGTGCTGCTTTGGGATGAAATGATTGGCAAATAGTAATTAAATGCATTCTATCTAGTGTGTTGTTTATCTTGTGGACTTTATGCCTGGAAGATCTATCCACTGATGCCAGTGAGGTGTGAAAATCCCTGACCATGGCTGTATTGATGTCGATTTCTCCCTAAACTCTAAAATTTTCTTTATAAAGTTGGGTGCTCCTATGTTGGGTTTAAGTATCTTTACAAGAGTTATGTCCTCTTGTTGGATCAGTCCCTTTACTGCTACTTTGTGACCTTCTGTGTCTCTTATTATGGCCTTTGATAAATACTGCTACCCCAGCTTTTTTATTTTATTTGTGCAGACTATATTTTCTCCTCTCTTCAGTTTCAGCCTTTGTAATTTTTGTTGTGCTGAGGTGGGTCTCTTGGAGACAGCATATATATATGGGTCATGTTTTCCTATTCATTGAACTGCCCTATGTCTTTTTATTGGAGCATTTAATGCATTTACATTGGAGTTTATTATTGATATGTACTTATTTATTACCAATTCTTTATACTTTGTTCTTTCTCTATTTCTTCTTCTAAGTGCCTTCCCCTTAACATTTCTTGCAATGCTCGTCGGTGGTTAATGAAGCTTTTTTATTTTTTCTTTAATTTTAAATGATAGCCTTGATGGGTAGGGTAGTCTTGGTTATAGATCCTTACTTTTTATCACTTTGAATATTTCATGCCCATCCATTCTGGCCTGCAGTGTTCCTGCTGAGAAATCAGCTGATGGTCTTAATAGGACTCCCTTGTAAGTAACTAACTGTGTCTCTCTTGCTGCCTTTAAAATTCTCTCTGCCTTTAATTATTACTGTTTTATTTATGATGTGCCTTCTTGTGGGTCTGTTTGGGTTCATCTTGACTGTGGCTATATGTGCTTCCTGAACTTGTGTGACTTCTTCCTTCATCAGGTTAGGGAAGTTTCCTGCCATTATTTCTTCAACAGGTTCTCTATTCCTTGCTCACTGTCTTGTCCTTCTGGCAGCCCTGTGGTGAAGAGGTTGTTACAATTGATGTTGTCCCAGAGATCCCTTAGACTTCCATCATTTCTCTTACTTCTCTTCTTTTGTTCATGTTCTGCTTGAGTGCTGCTATCTCATCCTCTAATTATCCAATCCAGCCCTCTGCTTCATGTAACCTGCTGTTGATTCCTTCTAGTATATTCTTCATTTCAGATATTGTGTCCTTTTCTGACTGGATTTTTTTCTAATGGTTTCTATGTGCTTTTTAATGTTTACTACCTATTTGTTTAGTGGCCAAGATCATGCACCTGCCATTTAGGACGCTGAGCATCCTTATAACCACTCTTTGAAACTCTGCAGCTGATGTTTCGGTTTATTCTGATTTCATTTCATTTTTTCCTGAGGGTTCCTGTTTGTTTTGTTTGTTTGTTTGTTTGTGGCATTTTTCTTTGCTCCCCATTTTGTCTCTGTATATTAGATGTATCTGCCTTGACTCCCAGAATTGTGATGTTGGCTTTATTTTGAAGGTGTCTTGTTGGACTCAGTAGCACAGTCTTCTAGATCACCTGAGCTAGGGGCTCCAGGAATGCTTCTTATGGGTTATGTGCTCTGCCCTGTTGTAATTGAGTCTTGAATGCTCTTGGCCCTTTCTTGGGTGCAGGTAATCCTCAGGCTGGGTGGCTGCAAGGGTATATACCTGAATCACCGTGTATGAGTCACCATGCAAAGAAAGGCTGTCCCCGAAGGCAGTGTTGTTTCCCAGCAGGGTCTGGTGCCAGCAGGAATTCCCTCTTTGGATGTGCCACTTGTGTGGCTAATTGGGTCGAGCTTTGGTGTTGGGTGGAGCCCACCACTGGTTGTTTTGATTCTGGGTCTACTTTGCTGAGGTTCGTTCAGTTGCAGGGCAATGTGACACATGTGTTAGTGGCCTTCAGCTTCCTGTCCATAGCTGCCATGCTTTTCACTGTTTGTGTCTGTGTCTAGGGGACCTGTGTGTGCATGTGAGGGGCAAATCTGAGTAAAAGAGTCAGCTTCTTCCCACTTAGAGGTCAGGGCAGATCCATAAAAGGACTGAGGCTCCCTGAGGTCTGTGTCCACTGCTGTGCTACTCCACCTGCCTCCCAAGGTTGCCTGGTCTTTTTACACAGTCTTCTAAAAAAAGGACTCTGGGGTGGGCCCATGCTGGCCACAATCCACTGGTTGTGGCACGGTTCATGAGCTCGGTAGTGCAGGGCAACTGGGGTCAGGAACAGGGCTTGTGGGTCCCTTAGTTTGTGAGCACAGAGCCAGGCACTCAGTGAGGGGAAGGTGGCCCCTGCTTCAAAGCCAAACCACATAGTCTTTGCCAGAGTCTCCAACTCTAGTTTCCCCTGGATGACCTTGCTGCAGGTTCGGGTTTGGTGCAGCCTTCTGTCACTCTGCAGGAGAAAGCTCAGCCACCCTGGACTCAGGGATAATAGATCAAAAGAGTCTCCCATTGGGGATGATGCTGACCCAGCTCACAGGAGGGGGCTAAGTTCTTCATCCTGGTGCCTCACTGTAGCTTTTGAGGGTCTGCTCTGAGCCTCTCTTCCTTCCCCCCAGGGAACTGAGACCAGTGGACATATCCATGACTTGGAGGGCTGACCCAAACAGCCTCCCCTGGGGTTCTTGCCTACGAGCCTGTAGGCGTACCTGATGCAGGTACCTTTCCAAGGGTAGCTTGGGCTGAGCTCACATGGGGTATTGGAACCCCGTGAGCTGCCCTGAGGCTGCTTCTATAGCAAGAGGGGAGTTCATCCCTAGAAGTTTGTGGTCTGAGTTTCCCAGGTGAAGTGAACCCCACTGATTTTCACCTCCAGATGCTACGCCAATTTCCTATTCCCATCTCTGTTGCACTGGGTTGGTGATATCTGTGTGGGGTTGAGACCCCATGCTTCTGACCCCAGAGGGAAGGTTGTTTCACAGCCTTGATATCCCTCAGGCTTCTCAGCTGCACATATGGGTCGGGGCTGGGGCTGTCAGCCTTTCCTACCCACCTCCCATTCTCAGCTTTCCTACCAGTCCCCACATGGTTTTGACTGCATTTCTGTGCAGCTAGCCCTCACTTGATTGTTCATGTCTATTGCTCCAAAATGTAGTTGTAAATTCGGTTTGGGGCCAGGAGCATGGAGGCACATCTACGACCTACTCTGCACCACCCCAGAATGTTGATTCATATGAAGTCTATTTAAAAGGTTCATATTTTTAAATTAAACTTAATTTTATTGTTGTTCAAGTACAGTTGTGTGCCTTTTGTTCCCCCAACACCCCCCACCCCCACCTCATCAACCCCAGCTCCCTCCCCTGATTCCACCGCCCCCACACCTTGGTTTTGTCCCTGTGTCCTTTATACGTGTTCCTAAAAACCCTTCTCCCTTTTTCCCTCCATTGTCCCCTCCCACCTCCTCCCCTCTGGTTATTGTCGGATTGTTGTTCATTTCACCATCCCTGGTTCTCTTTTACTTGCTTGTGTCCTTTTTTCTTGTTGTTGTTGTTGTTGACTAGGTTCCACTTAAAGGTGAGATCATATGGTATTTGTCTTTCACTGCCTGGCTTATATCACTTATCATAATGCTCTCCAGTTCCATCCATGCTGTCACAAAGGGTGGGAGCTCCTTCTTTCTTTCTGCTGCATTGAATTCTATTGTGTAAATGTACCATAGTTTTTAGATCCATTCATTTACTGATAGGCACTTAGGTTGCTTCCAGATTGGTTTTTAATAAAAATAGAGTAGATTGATACTGCTTTTCTTTGTACACTCAATCACTTGCATATTTTCTTTTCACAACTGAAGTACAAAAGATTCCACAACTGTAATTTTTTCGTTCGTAACTCAAAGGTTCATAGTGTACTTTGTAAATATAAAGTGTGCTTGTTATTTTAGCTGGAGGAGAGCTGGAATGTTCAGACGCAAATGAAGATTCTGCAGAAGAAGCAAGCTCAGATCGTGAAAGAGAAAGTTCACTTGCAGAGTGAACATAGCAAGGCTGTTTCGGCAAGAAGCAAACTAGAATCTCTTTGCAGAGAACTTCAGCGTTACAACAAGACATTAAAGGTTATTGGTTCATTGCTCTGCTTTCAGGAGGTGTATATACCTAGGCTGATTTTATACTCAACTGACTATCCATTTGAAGTAAATCCTTGCTTCTGTTGATGTAGTGGGATATATACACATATATCTCTATGTATATTATACCTATCTACATCTCTCTCTCTCTCTCTCTCTCTCTCTCTCTCTCTATATATATATATATATATATATATATATATGTATGTATGTATGTATGTATGTGTGTGTGTGTGTGTGTGTGTGTGTGTGTGTGTGTATCCATATATATCCATTTTTATGGCTCGTGGTTGATTTCTCGTGTGCTTGCTCTGGTACATGAGGTTCCTGAGTAGAGAACTTCTGGCGGTCCTCGAAAATAAACTGCCTTCCTTTTCTATTTCGCTGGTTCTAGTGCTGTGTGGTGAGGTCATTGTAAATCAAAGACTCACTTTTTTCATCCAGCTTTTGGTTTGTGGTTCAAGGAAGAACCTTTGAATGTATCTCATTTGATTACAGGAAATCTCCTCCCCTGCTCAGGAAATGTTTAAGTCCAGAGTCCTCCAGTTTAGGAACCTCAGGGTTTTCAGATGCCCTGCTAATCATTAATGTAGTTGATTACCATATCCTTCTTGAGTAAGGAATTAAATGCCTAGGTGAAACAAAGAAATTAGTAGCAATAGACTTGAGTCAGAATTACTTTGAGAAGGAGAGGCATGGCTGCTAATAGGCTAATAATTTCCATAACTGCTCTCAGACCTCTTTCAGCTATTCAGGTGCTAAATAATTTTAACTTATACCTTGGCTAATTATAAAGGAAGAGGCAGCAGGCATCGAAATTTGTATCAGTGAGGAAAGAGGGATAAAGAGCATGGAGGATACAAAGAATCCCTATGGTGGGAGCACATGTGCTTTTATCAATGGGGAAGAGATACAGTTGGAGGATGATTTCAATTAAGCAAGAGCTCAGATTACCCTGCCGCAGAAAACTCCCAAGGCCTGGAGTATGAGACCATTTCTGAAATGAATATTCAACTGGTGTAAGAGGTTTATTTTTTCTTGCTTATGAAACCTTGGATTTTGATATCATACAAATAGATGGTTGATTTTCTTCCCTCCCCTCCTTATGCACATATAAGTCAACATTTTGACTGGATTGGTAATGGCTTAGGTAGCATTCTGTTCGATGCTTGTATCTTAGGAAGAAATGAAAGTAAGCTTTTTAAAATGAGTATTTAATTTGTCCTGTGCCCTTTGAAGAGCTGTGTCATTAAAAACTAAGTTGCTAGGTGTGAAATACCTCTTCAGCCTTATGTAACAAGGATGATGGCTTGCCTAAACCCTGAGGAGGACATCTGGGAAAGTAATGTGGAAAAAGCCGATTGTGTAGAGAAGCTCCTACTTGTACTTTACTTCTGTGAATAGACAGGCCATCAGATAACACTTACTTTATATCATGGAAACTTGTATCTCTGACAACTTAATTAGGATGATCTGCCTGCTTCTAAAAGTAAGAGCTTTCTGGTCATACATCAGGAGAAGAAACTGTAGCTCACAAGCAGCATTTTCAGCATGACTATTGAACCCACATAGCAGCAGCATGTTTTGTATGAGCATTTTATCTGTAGGTTTAATGCAATTAACAGAAATTATTTTGGATAATAAGGAAGAAAATATGGAGCAGGCACGAGAAGAAGAAGAAAGTCGTGAAAAAGCAACTTCACATTTCCAGTTAACTTTAAATGAAATCCAAGCACAGCTGGAACAGCATGACATACAAAATGCCAAACTGCGCCAGGAAAACACTGAACTGGGAGGGAAGCTGAAGAAGCTCATTGAACAGTACACACTGAGGGAGAAGGTAAAAATGTTTTGTTTATTTAGACAGCATCTTGTTGTCACCAAAATGTTTTACCATTCATTGCTAATTTAAAACTTTTGTCACAGAACAATGTTTTAGAACTTTTGTATGTGTATAATTGGGCATTTTAAGGAAGGGATTGGCACTCTGTGAACCCAAGGACTAATCGTATCATCACTGGGCAACAGCCCAGGTATCAGTGGCTTTGGATATCTGAAATTGTTTCTAGGAGATATTTTAAGTACTACTTGTGTGCCATGTGGTACTAGAAGGTGGTGACTTTAGCATAGACACTGTTTTTCCCATATGCAGCCTAACAATGAATATCAGGCCCCCAAATAACCTATCTCAGACCTCCATACAATCTGTTCCATGTGTAAATAGCATTGCATTCTACCATAGCATTGTATTATTTGGGAGAAAAAAAAAACGGACCTTCTGTTAATGTATTACCCACTCCTCTTAGTGATCTCTCTCTCTCCCTCCCTCTCTCTCTCCCCCACCCCCCAGTAGACACACATACAGTGAAGTTAAAAAGTGTTACAGGAATGATCTGTGCTTGCAGAACCTGATTATTGTGTTTTATTTTACAAGCTACTCTGACAGTTAGATAGGGTCTAGGTTAGAAGCAAATAGGTGACTGAAGTGCTCATGTTAGTTTCCTCACTTTTAGAGGTCAAATATGTAGGGTAAGAGGCTTTGGCTTTTTGAAAGGATGCCTCTCCTGCCATTATTACGCTTTTAAGGTAGCAAAATGTTGTTTCTGTTATTTATGTATGTTGAGCTCCTTACATAAACAGATTAAAATTAATAATTTAAAAAGATTGTCACCAATTAACATGGGTTAAAATGGCCAATTTTGTGTATTTTACTACCAGCAAAACTGTACCAGTTGCAATTCAAATTTAATATTGTCTCAATTTATACTTTTACACACTCTTTGAAAACATATTTAAGATTTGTCAGTATTTTCCAACCACATAGCTTCAAAAGTTACCCACTTTTGGCCCTGGCAGGTGTGGACTGAGCGCCAGCCTGCGAAGCAAAGGGTCTTGGCTCCATTCCCAGTCAGGGCACATGCCTGGGTTGCAGGCCCGGTCCCCAGTTGGGGGCGTGCAAGAGGCAACCACACATTGATGTTTCTCTCCCTCTTGTTCTCTCCCCCTTCCCCTCTGTCTAAACATACATAAGTAAGGTGTTAAAAGACAAAAGTTATTCACTTTTGTGTCGAGCAGCTGTTGTTTTGTCTGTTTTAAACAAGTCTGACACATCACTCAACACTATTTGAATGTGTATCCTGAAATGACAAGACTGTTTTTGAAGCAGAAGCACAGTAACATTGTTACAGCTACTAATTTAATAATAACCACCTAATCAAATGCCATGTCATTGTTTAAATTTCTCTGCCCCATCCACCCCTTTAAGATTGTTGGAATCAGATCCAAACAAGTTTTATGCATTTTATTAGATATTATGTCAAGTCTTTGTAATGTAAAGGCTTATAGAATGATTTTCCTACTAGTAGATTCATGGAGTTCTCATTTTGTTAAATGAAATCTTAAACTGTTTTTAAGAATGACAGTCTACTTCTCTATTAACATAGGAAATTTGCAAGGTATACTTTCATGTTGTATCACTTGTAAGCCTTGTACATTTTAAGAGTTACAGCATTTTCTGTGTTTTTTGGTCAAGATATAATTTGATAATCTGCCCTGGCTGGTGTAGGTCAGTGGATTGAGTGCTGGCCTGTGAACCAAAAGGTCAGCAGTTTGATTCCCAGTCAGGGCACATGCCTGGGGTTCAGGCCAGGTCCTAGCAGGGGGCATTTTATAATCCAGTCAACTATTTTCGATCAAAGACACATCCACTGCAGTTCTCAAAAGTTAATTAGGTTACCTGTTATGAACCAGCATTTCTTCCTATCACATGGGATATTGTAACTGAAAAAGTTAGTATTTCTCCGTCTGAGAAGGATGTTCTGATGACTTCATTGTACATGACTAGCACTTAGCAATTTAGTTGGGAAATAATAATGATGTCTCCTCTTACCAGGTATGTATGTAGTATGTGCTAGGGCTCCAAGCTCCTTAAATATTTTAACCATTGCATTGATTTTTACAAAAACTCTGTAAGGTTTGATGTGGCTATCAACCTTTATAGATTTACTAAGAAAACAGTTTCATTAAGGTGCAGAGTTTGTCCAAGGCCATAATCACTGAATGAGCATCTGACCCTAGACTATTTCATTTCCACCATTACACCATGCTGCTGCCCACACAAAGAAATTTGGGGAGCATTAATTAGGGGGGAAATGCTCAGGAATGTATGTATAGGATGAGTGAGTTTAATATTAATAGTTTGATCATCATCTTTTTCTTGATAGCTTGGGCCTAACTTTTAATGTGGAGCAGAAATGGGAAATGCAAAGCTGTTGATGGGGACAGACCACCTCCAACAACATTGGCTGCAGATAGTAGAGTGGAGGGATGATTCCCGCAGGTGCAGGATGGTTGCAAGATGCCGTACATAGATGTTTCTGCAAGCATAGGGACACAAAGATTTGATGTTATTAGCTGTGATCTTTTTTAGCAGAAAGAACACAGAAGCAAGTAATTGTAACTTGTATTATTTCTCTTCACCAGTGTGTTATTTTTTCATTAAATGATGAAAGAAATTTTATCTTTCCTGTAGCATATTGATAAAGTGTTCAAACGCAAGGAACTGCAACAACATCTTGTGGATGTCAAGCTTCAGCAAATAACACAGCTCATAAGAGAAGCTGATGAAAAACATCAAAGAGAAAGAGAGTTTGTAAGTTCAATCTCTTAAAGGACGTTATTGCCAAAACTGTAGCCAAAGCCTTTTAAAACATTCAAACTAATTATTTTACATACACCTGAGTCATGCAGTTTGCTTTTTCACTGGCTGGATTGAAAACCTTAGAGTACATTCAGCCTGTTATTTCTGATAATATTTTCATATAAAAATGCATAGTGGAATTTTTAGACCAAATTAGTAGAAAGACCTACACATGTTTTAGTGTGTGTGTGTGTGTGTGTGTGTGTGTGTGTGTTATTTTCTTGATTTTTAGGGAATGATCATTAAGTTGAAAATTGCAGTCATTTGGCAAGTTGGGCCTTGGGAGCCAGAGGCAATTTTATTTCACACCAACTTTATCAATTGTGAACATAGTGAGATCCCACATTTAACATATGCAAACTAAACTATATACGCTTAACTTAAGTGAAGTGCTAAATGATTATAATAGTATGGACTGGTCCACTTAGTGTGTCATTCAAGGCTCTGACACGCTACCAGTTTAGGCCCTGAGGTAAGCATGGCGTGACATACTCAGTTCCTAAGTGTGAACAACTCACACTAAATGCACGCCTGTAGTTTAGAGAGATGCATTTTCACAGCATGAACCTTTAGTGTAAGCCAACAGTAGCATCCAGTGCACACCTGTAGAAACAATTGCCATTTCCACTGTGGAGTATAAATTGTGTGTGTGTGTGTGTGTTGTGTGTACATAAATGAACATATATACATGTATTACATTTGTATACTTTGTGGTTGGTTTAGGGACCTTTTAAGGCTTCATTGCACTATGTATAACATTTTGCCCCAGTAATTTAATGACTGAATTTCGTAACTGTTACCATTCAACTTCACTGTATAATTTTCTTTAAAACCCATGTACATAGCATGGGGCAAAACTAGATTAGCACTTGTGAGGACATGGAACAAAATACAAGATTGTATTGCTATCTACTATTGCACTCCTTTTCATACAAACATGTGTAAACTGATTTTGCCACACCCTTTGTTGACTAGAGGGTGACACCCTTCTCCCCCCCATATTTGAAAAAATAGAAATCTGATATCTGTTCCTTCCTTCCCTCCCTCCTCCCTCCTCCCTCCCTCCCTCCCTCCCTCCCTCCCTCCCTTCCTTCCTTCCTTCCTTCCATCTTTCTCTCTTTCTTGGCCCTATAGTTATTCTACCTCACCTTGCCTCTCATGGAGCAGACAGCCTTCTGAGCCTTTCGGATAATGTCAATATTCCTAGTCCTGTTTTTTGCTTCCATTTGGTCTAATTATTTTCACCTAAAAGACCTCAATTCGACCCTGAGTTTTATGCACCTCATTAGGCCTTCAGGATTCTCTTCCCCTTAAGCTGCTCAAAGATTATTCCTACATTCCTAGGTGTTAAAAGTGGTACACAGCAAACATAGAGATAATTGAAAAATGATGTAATAGACTGTTTTACCCACTGACCTGTGATTCTTTCCAAAATAATGACAGTAAATACTAATGTTGACTATCTGTTCATTTGACATTTTAGACATTACTATTAGCGTTTTGCCAGAATGTTTCTGTTTTCTAGTTGTTAAAAGAAGCAACAGAATCAAGGTACAAATATGAAGAAATGAAACACCAGGAAGTACAATTAAAGCAGCAGGTAACTTGACAACACAGAAATAGGGCAATTTATGAATATTGTTGCTCTCAGGAAGAGCCAGGTAGAACAGAAGGGTAGATAGATTTCTTGCCCTCTTGGAATTTTTCTGTTCACTTAGGGTGACTAACTTATGGGAGTCCATCGGAGTAGGGCTTTTCTCAATTTTAGTCTTGTAAATCCCATGCCCCAAGAAACCCCTCAGTCCAAGGATAATCAGGTTAACTGCTCAGCCTACTTTCACTGTGGCCTTCCTATGTTAGGTACTGTTCCAGGATCTTTCTGATTTTGTTCTTTAAGGAAAGGAAAGCAGGCAGAAAAATACACGTTTTGTTCTACATGTAGTTTAAAAAACTGCAAGTTCACACAGGTTCACTACCAGCTAATGTTGTATGTGTGAGTACTTTTTAAAAAGAATTGGGGTTTTCCCTGTTTGTCAATGAGTCCTCTTCTGTCCCATTGTAGTCTGTCTTATTTGAAACAAAGGAAGCAGATGTACAAATGCTAAGTAAAAATAGAGGAAATTGTGTGTTTTTCATATGTGAAACATTACTGATGCCTCCCTGGTTTGTATAGAAAGAAGCAGTTAGGTATCTATATGTATACTTTATTCCCTTTTGGTTAATTAGATTGTGTCCTGTTAAAAAGCACCTCCTGTTTAAAATATAATGTTTACTATATAATGTGTTTACTATATAATGTTTACTATATAATGTAAGTGTAAGAACTCCCTCCGTTAATTAGTTCTAACGTACACTAATACTTTTAAGACTGGTGTACAAATTCATGAGCAAACCTTCTGCATGCTGTTTGTCTCTGCAAATGTTTTACAATGTAGTGGCACTCTATAAAGCTACTAGCGTAACTTACTGTGGAAACTGAATAGTAGTCAAATAGAAGTTTTCTGAACTTTTCATCATACGTTGTGATCTTGTCACTATGCTTCTATAAAATTTAAACCCCTTACTTAATTAGCTTTGTACACTGAGTTGTTTATAAACATGGAAAAGAGAATCAAATGTGGGGACGGTGTAAAAAGTGTGTGTATGGGTTTGAAAGCTGTTCTCTAACATGGGAGGGAGTGATTGATACTTGTTCCAGTAGTAAGTCACTGGAGATCCTTTTTTAGCAAGCTGACGAGGCCACCTCTGCTTCTGTTGTGCTGTTGTCAGTCACTGACCTGTCGCTCCAAGTGTTATGTAATCATTAGTTTGTTTTACTTGCTGTTTTACCTCTTCCTTTTCCCACGCTCTAAATGTGGCTGTCCTTCCCAAGAGGCATTCTCATTCTGCGCTCTTTACCATGTGTTGACAGTCTCGTCATCTTGGTGTGTCTGAAGCCACTGTTGGTGACCCAGCCACATAAGCCCAGGACTCATGGCAGTCGCCACTGACTGACTACCCAGTGTGGGCCGGCCCTGACCTCGCAGATGGGGCTGTCTACCTAGATGTGCCATCTTCAGTAAAAACGGGCCATGCCCAAACTGTCCTAACTTGCAACCTCCCTCAGACCCTCAAGCACCAGAACTCCCTCACTGGGCCTGAGCACCGCTGCTGTTCCCCACTTCAGGCCAGCTGCCTCAGGGGCACGGTCAGTGTGTGCCCCTCCAACAGGCCGCTCACAAATCCTCTGCATTCGTCTTAGTTTGCCCCTAAGTTTCCATTCCTTCTTACCCTCGCCCGCACCTTTCTGAGGATGTGTTTTGGCTGTCTGCCAGTTTCCTTATCTAGCTTCTCACTGGTAACATTGCTTTCAGTCAGCTTCTCCCTCCCACCTACAGCAGAGCTTGCTTCTCAGTGCTCCCCATATGGCCCATCCCACCTGATAAATGGTGGGTTTGTTCTCTCATCACCTTCTACCTCCTCCCCACCCTGTTCATGAGTTGTTGGATATTTCTCATGCAGCACCAATTAAAAGCCAAACTGGAAGGGCTGTTTCTTGGATGCTGATTCTCTTTTATTCTCTTCCACTTATCTTTGGCAAACCACTTGGCAACACTCACCCTTAGCTGTGGGCTCCCATCATGGGTTTCAGCTACCACAGACCAGACACATTAAGCAAACAATTCTAGAAATAAAAAGTAATATAAATCTTAAATTGCATGCCATTCTGAATTGCATGATGAAATCTTGCACCAGATGTTCTGTCCTGACTGGGACGTGACTCATCGCTTTGCTCTGTGTCTCCACACTATAATGCTACCTGTTTATCTACTTGATACTCATTTACCAGGGGGAGAAAGAGATGGACTACATTCATATAACTTTTGTTACCGTGCATTCTTATAACTGTTTTATTATTATATTAGCTATTGTTTTTAGTCTCTTGCTGTGTCTAGTTTATAAATTAAGCTTTATCTTACATATCATATACAGGAGAAAATATAGTAATATATATTTCCAGTACTCCCTGTGGTTTCAAGGCCTCCGCTCGGGGTCCTGGAGCCTGTCCCTCATGAAGTGCAGTACTTCTCTGGGCCTGTGGTTTCTCATCCTCACTGTGATATTATTATATTTGGTTATCTCTAAAGCATTCCATCCTGATCTAAGTAAAATAAGTTAGCCAAGCCTAAATGTTATGCCTAAAATGTAGGCATAGTTCAGGGTCACCCACATGCTTTCTGTTCTGGCAGCTACTGAGGTCCCCCCCCCAACAAAAAAAATGACTCCATTCTACACTCAGTTAGCATTATTCTCCCAGCCGGCATAAAAATTTCATAACAGTAGGGGTTTAAAAAATTGGCGTTTCTACCTTTCTTAGCTTTTCTTTGTCTCAGCTGTACTCCCACTAACTCCCACTAACTTATTTCTTCTCCAGCCAAACCATTTCTTGGCTTCTGTTTTACCTCCCTCCCATGTGCAGGAAAGAAATAGCCTTCACATTAAGCTAAGGACTATTCAGATAGTACACTTAAAAGAATGACTCTTTTGCAGGAACAGCTTTTCAAATGTAAGGAGAGGACTGGTGCATAAAACATTATGGTTATATGAAATGTATAGCCATAGTACTACTGTACATTATAACACTTTTTATTGTAATTGATTGAACAGAGCTAGTGAATATTTCTACAGTTTAAGGATTTGCACAGATTAAACCAACAAAATGTCATAAATTTTCAGTGTGCTTCAGTGGTTTATAAGAACTTCAGCCATCCTGTGGTTGTTCCAATATTTAGTATGTGTTTGTTCTTACTTTCATCGCTCATAACAACTCACTGATGTTTAGCCATGTTATGTTCTTTCTGTAGCCTTTGGGACTTTCAAATCACTTATCTGGGACTCAGAATACTTGATACTTTCTTTTGTAGCTTTCTATTTATATAGATAAGTTTGAAGAATTCCAGACTACGATGGCAAAGAGCAATGACCTCTTTACAAACTTCAGGCAGGAAATGGAAAAGGTATTTTATATATCTATAGTGGGATATTGCTTCTAAAGTTGTGTGTGATTGCCTTAAGCATAATTCCTGTTTGGATGAGCTTACAGTGATCTGATATAATCTTAATTTTATTTTTTCTAATCCTCCATTGCCATATTCAGGCATTGTGTCCAGAATTTACCCCAAGTTGATAGTAGTCTCTATACTCTCAAAAATCTGTCATTATTAAAGAGAATTCTCCTTCTCCTAATAAGGGCAGTATGTTGTGAGAAGTAGCTACTTTTTTATTGAGCATTTTAAAAAATGCTCAATAAATTATTTAATTATTGTTCAAGTATTTGAACAATATTTAAATTGTATTTATTTAAACAATAAATAAAGTATTTAATTTAGTTTTCTGTCTTTCACTCCCATCCCAGCCCACCCCCCCAGCCCTCCCCACCTCCCTCCCATTTCCACCCCCTTAGTTGTTGTCCATGTGTCTGCTTTATACTAGTTCCTGTAAATCCTTCCCCTTTTCCCCTGAAATTCTCTCCCCTCTCCCCTCCGGTCACTGTCCCCCTGTTGTCTATTTCAGTGTCTTTGTTTTTATTCTGCTTGCTTGTTTGTTTTGTTGTTTAGCTTCCTGTTAAAGGTCAGATCATATGGTATTTGTCCTTTTTTAAAACTCACTTCAGATAATCCCTCCTTGTTTTTTCTCAAAAAGTGTTGTGTAAATGAACTTTTAGAGATCCAGACCAAGGAAAGTAATATATTTTGGTTCAAATAGGTTATTTCTGAGGATATTAGCTAATGTCTAAAATATTATTATTCTCTAAGAATTTATTTATATACTTTCAGAGAGAGGGGAGGGGAAGGAGAAAGAGAGAGAGAAAAACATCAATGTGTGTTTGTCTGCCAAGTGCCCCCTACCAGGCACGTGTGCTGATTGGGTATCAAACCAGTGACCCTTGGTTCTCAGGCCCAAACTCAATCCAGTGAGCCAATTTGACCTTACTACGTTTAATTTTTATAACATCGTTATAAAATTTAAAAATTGGTATTAAAATTTATCATAGAGACCTGGCTGGCGTGGCTCAGTAGATTGAGTGCCAGCCTGTGAACCAAAGGGTCATGGGTTTGATTCTGGGTCTTCGGCACATGCCTGGGTTGTGGGCCAGGTCCGCAGTAGGGGCTGCCTGAGAGACAACCACACGGTGATGTTTCTCTCTCTCTCTTTCTCCTTCCCTTCCTCCTCTCTAAAAATAAATAAATAAAATCTTAAAAATAACATAAAATAAAATTCGGCATAGAAATCTCTTTTGGGTCATTCCAGTTCAGAATATGGGGTAAAGGTCAAGTCTAGTGATTACTGTTACCTGCCTCTGTCCTGAAATAAATAGGGAGCAGCACCTTCGTGTGGAGCATGGACTCTGGAACTAACATCTGTGTGACTTCCTTGGGGCAAGCTATTTACTTTGGCATTTGCCCCTTAAAATTGGGTTTTAAGAAAGGGTGGTCAGTACAGGGTAGGTAACAATGGGGTCTGGCATTTTATAAATAGTCGGTAGATATTAGTCATCATTATTATCACATCTTGAATGGTAGTCAAAACGTGGTTTTCAGTAGTCAGGTTTATCGTGTTAACAAGTACCCTTGCGTTATCTATTGTAGATCACTGACAAGTTGTTTAACCTCACTGGTCTTCCATTGTTAAAAACGAGAATAATGAAAGTATCTGCAGTATTTCAAACAGACCTTGTCCATGTTAAGTGCTCCAGTTAGCATCTTCAGATGTTTTTAGAACTACTAACGTGGAGAATTCAGTGAGTCTTGAGAAAATTAGTTTTGCCCTCCTGTTTTTGCAGCTGAGGCTCCAGTTGAAGCAAATGTGTTAGCTGGACTGTAGCACATGCATGCTTTTGATACAGACCATTTCAAGAGAGGGGACGGCCATTTCTCTATTGTGGAGAATCCTCTGGCCTGGAACACTGTGCGTGCGTGCGTGCGTGCGTGCGTGTGTGTGTGTGTGTGTGTGTGTGTGTGTGTCTGTGTGTGTGTGTGCGCGCGCGCGCGCCTGCACGCGCTACTGGCTATACAGATCCCTGTACGTCAGCATGCAGCTCAGATCTTCTATATGCTTTTCCCATGGCCTCTGTCACACTGCCTTGTGGTGCAGTTTTGTGGTTAATAGCACATGACATAGGGCACTGGCTCTGTCTTATCCTTGTTTCCTCTAATGCTGCGTGGCTTAATTAGTGTGCCTACTTGAAGCAGAGCTGATGTGCAGACCAACAGTAAAGGAATATTGGAATGATGGGTGTTTGGTAGGCATAGCATATTCTTATTTGGAATTTCTGAAAAAGGGGATATTGTAGCAATTGACTTAACAACATTCCCCTAATGTTTAGACCCACTTTATCTTTGGCAAAATCTCAAGTAAAAATCTTGTGACTTGTGAGGGTGATGAAACCTAAGGATTTAATCATTTTAATGCCCTCTTCCTGGGTCACCTAACTTCTTCCACTTCTAGTTCTGCTACTGTTGTGGTTTTAGACTCTTAATCCCTTTGTGGCCTGAGAGTCTCTGTTGTTCCAAGAATCTGATAAATTAGTTTAATGTGCTGTATCACATCTTGAGTTTTGAGAAAATTCAAAAATGTGGACTTTCTTTCCCCCATACAACCTAGGAGGCAGGAGGTCTTGTATCTTGCTACATAAGTTGGAACGAATTGTATTCTGACCTTAACTCAGAGACTTGAGAGTATCTAAAGTTACCATTTTGCATCTTCCTCTAATACTGAGAAGATAAAAAATTATAGAGACATTCATATTATCAGCTGGTGAGACAAGTGCAGTGATGAGAGAGGAAAAAGGAACATTATAAAATGTGTCTGTTGTAGGTCAGGAAATTCTACTTAGAATTTAAATTTGCATTGTGTTGATTCACAGATGACAAAGAAAATTAAGAAACTGGAAAGAGAAATGATAATATGGCGTACCAAGTGGGAAAGTAATAATAAAGTACTTCTGCAAATGGCTGAAGAGGTGAGAAGGTTTTACGTTAATGGTGAATGCTTATTTATTTCAGTTTTAAGGCAGGCTGGAACGTCTGGGTATTTCCTAAAGTAACTGCAGGTGTGATTATTAAAGTTTGATTAGTTTTCTGCAGTGAGTTAGGTTGTGTTGAGTGTGGTATGTAGCCAACTAATTAGCTCAGGTTTGTGTTACACATAGCTCTAAAGTATGTAGGTTTTGCTTTCTGCTATAGTAAGTGAATGTATGCCTACTAAAGGTTTGTGACACCTGGTATGCTGCTCCCCCCACATTTTTTGATTCATTAAATCTAGGGTGTGGCCAAAGAATTTGCATTTCTAACAAGTATTTGTGTAAAGCTTATGTTGCTGGCTCAAAAGCCACAACTTTAGAGTCTCTCCTCTTCAATACAGACAACTTTTTTCAAATTTCCTGTGGGGAGAACACCAAGTTTTGTGACTCAGTTGCTTTTTTGCCCTGATTTATTCTTTCCAAAAGACAGCAAACTACGTTTTTGTCAGACTTATAAATAAAGCTGAAATGTGTCCCAGGTGCAATTAGTACATTTCAAACTTCCATAAACTTGGTAGAGCTAGTTCATAACATTTCAGAAATAAAACATGAAGGCTCTAGAATGGTGGAACAGAAGGAAAATTATTCTTGTTTCTGGCATCTTAGGTTAAGATGCTGGGTTTTCTTACTGCTTGATGCAGTCAGGAAGTATATTTGGGTTACCTAATGTTTGTACTTTTTCAGAGTAGTTATACATATCAGTGTTCAGTAAGGTCCAAAAGATGAAAATAAGTAGTTTCCAGGGTTGCTCCGATTACTTAATTTTGCAAATGGTAATCTAATTTGTATTTACATATGCAGAGGTTACTAACATTGTCTTTTTTTTTTTTTTTAAGAAAACTATTTGTGATAAAGAGTACAAATCTTCCCAAATGAAGCTGGAACGGTTAGAGAAGCTGTTTAGAGCACTTCAAGTGGAAAGAAATGATCTCAGTCAGAAAGTGGAAGCCTTGAAAGAGCAGGGCCCTGTGAAAGCTGCAGATGTAGCTTTAGCAACACCTGGGATACAGCCCTGTGCTACTGTTGCTTCTCAGAAAGACTGGAACCCTTCCTGCAAAGGAGCTCCAGGAATCTGCTCGCAGGATGAGACCAAGGGAGGAAATGAAACCAAAGGCAGTTCCAAAGACCCTTTCCACATGATCTCTTCTGGGCATTGATTCAGCTGCCGTAGTGATGAGTGCTTCATGTATTGAGACATTCTTTGTATATAATTTTCCCATAGCAGTTAGAATAGGCTTTCTGATGAAAATTTTCTACTTCTGCATTTTCTTAGAACTATTGAACTGCGTGATACACGAGAGTGCTTAGCAGTCTTGTGTCGTTTTCATGTATACATTTCTACAGTTGTATTGCCTATCTGCCTTATTTTCCCCTTCATTGCAATATGTCTACTCATTCCCCTTATGGCTTCAGTGTTATCACATTGTGTGCTCATTGCCTTATCTGTGGGTCTTGCACCTCATTACAATTAAATTTAGATTTGTTCTAACACTGGCTCCCTATGTGAAAATCGAAACTAATTCAAACTCTCTAGTCCACTAACAGAAGAACAAGCCATATAAAAATGATTAGTTTAGTTTATTGGTTTGTTTTAATGCCATGTAAAATTAAGACCAGTCTGGGATACGAAACAAGCATAGTATGTTTGATTCTTATTGCCTTTTTGATAATATTTTTAACACTTGACGATTGAGATGAGTGACGAGTGTCAAAGTAGGAGAAGCTTATGTATATGAAGATGCCACTTGTGAAGAAACTGGAGTTTGTAGGCAAGTCAGTGGACAAATAGGCTCAATATTCACATGTCTCAAAATGTCATACTGCTTTAGTTTATGGTAGATAGATGTCTAAGGAAAAAAAAAAACATCTGTAACAGGGCTCTGCATTTAGAATGGGCAAATTTCCGAACATGGTGATTTCATTCCTTCCTTATTTTAGTGCCTAAAAGCTACATTTTTTATTTCAATGTTCCTCTCACACTTACAATCTAAAATTGTTTAAAAATGCAAAATTACCTACTAGGGAAAAGAGCCAAGATTGTAAGTAAGTAAAGTATAAACTTCTACGATAATCAACAGTCCAGACAGAAGAGGAAGTGTGTGTGATATCTGACTAAATACTGTGCCAACATTAGCAGGATCAAAACATCCCACTTCCACCCCCACCACAAGCTTTTATGAGTACCTCCCTTAGCTATCAAATGAAACTTGGGGCCCAGCTCTTTGCATAAAAGTGAGGATATGTGTCAGAGTTATAATTCGACTTAGAATTGATCCTAGTGATCAGATTGTACCAGGACCCAGCTGCTGCAACGTTTTTAACCGTTTACAAAGAGAGTTCTGTGCCCCATCACACTTCTTTGTCACTTGTTTCATGTGAGAGGTAAATCTTGGATTGAGAGCAATATGGTTGACAGAACTTGGTCTATCTATTCTTTTGGTTGTCCTCAGTGTACTAGATAATATTGTGTGAAATAAGACATTTAAAGGATCTAGCTTGCTTGAGGAGCTTTTTTTTACCTCCTTACCAAGTGGAGAAAGGCAGGGTCAGGCGGTGACCTGATGAAAAGCATTCCCTTCTAAATGACCTGGAGCATGCAAAGTGTCTACTGTATTCTTCAACTGGAGTTGGCAAACCAGGACTTCAACTGGCTACTGCTGGTTTTACAAGGGTATTTGAACAAATCTAAAATATTTGATATCTGACCCTTTGGCAACCCTTGTTTTAAAACACTGTAGCTCACCCAGGAAAGGCTTACATGCCACAGTCGATTAAATTGTGAGCGTTTGTGCCATTTTGTGGGAAGTTCTGGAGTTGTAAAATTCCTAGTGGCAGAGGGTTCCAATGTAGAGAAATCAATATGGTGTGAAAGAGCAGACCACTTCATATTCAGAGGCACAGAGATACATTATGTGGTTCATGAGACATTTTCTTAGTTACTAGTGACTAAAGACATACATAGTCAATACCATAAGACATGGTCACTGTCTTACTACACCTGTCATCACAGCTCATTTCCTTAGGGTTCATTTTCAGAAATAACTACCTCTTTACTCTGTAAATGAAAATAACCAAAAGAAAAAACAAAAAAGAAAGGGAGGCAGTACTACCTACACTGCCTTATTTTTACAGCTCACGCATCCTTCATAGACATAACTAAATTGATGAGGCAGTCTTACTTCGTTGTGCAAAGACACTTTTGCAGATTATTCACTAAATATGAATTTTATTTTATCTTTCTGTGAAGGTTTAGTAACTGTGTAATGATTAACTTAATAGCCTCTGTGTATTCTTTACATTTAGTGACTTTAATTCCATAACCCTCAAGTTCAAACACAATTTTTGTAAACAGCTACATTTTTTGATCTTAAGACCCAGTTAATTAAAGCACAATTTGAATAAGCACTGAGTAGAGGAACATACCCTCAATTTGTCTGGCAAAAGTCACTTAGCTAGAAAGCTCCACATATAGAAAGCTGGAAGAATAAGGGTTTTGTTGTTGTTGTCGTCGTTTTAACCTTACTAAAATTATAAGAATTACACCCAGAAGCTCTTTATTTTTGATATTTGAAAACTCTCCTTAAAGTGTTAGAAACATGTGCACACAGAAATATGAATATACATGCTATAAATTTTATGACTTTTAAATTTTATTTTCAAATATACTTCTACCTAATTTATTGTGCTGACATTGGTTAATAAAGTTACATAGCCTGGAGGTGTGCAGTTCTTGTAAAATATCATCTGTATATTATATTTTCTCTTCTCCACCCCAAGTCAATTCTCCTTCCATCACCGTTTATCCCCCTTTACCCTCTTTTTCTTCCACACCCCACTTTTCCTCTGGCAGTTACCTTACTCTTGTCTCTGTCTGTTAGTGAGTTTTTTGTTTTTTTTGTTTTTGCTTTTGCTTCAGTCCCTTCACCTGTTTCACCCAGCCCCCAAATCCCGTCCCCTCTGACAGCTGTCAGTCTGTTCTCTATATCCATGCATCTGGTTCTCTTCTGTCTGTTTTGTTCATTACACTCCACCTATGGCTGAGATCATATGCTACTTGTCTTTCTCTGATTGGCTTATTTCACTTAGGATAAGGCTGTCCAAGTCCATCCATGCTGTTGCGAAAGGTAAGCAGAATTCTGTGTTCTAGCTGAACAGGCTGAGAGAAGGCTGGTGATTTGTTTGAGTGCCCAGTGGAGGCACAGACAAAAAGTCAAGAGTAACAGAGTGGTTCCACATAAAGATGACGCCACATGCTGTTTCTCTTTTATTGCCTGGGTTATTTCAGCATAATGCTTTCCACTTCTAAGCATGCTGTCACAAAGGATTCTGTCTTTCTGTCTGCTATACCATAGTCCATTGTGTAAATGTACCACAATTTCAGGATCCATTCCTTTGGTGATGGGTTCTCAGGCTGTTTGCAGCACACACACACACACACAAAAGCAAGGAAAAAAATATATGAACAAATACATCCACCTTCCTCTGTGCATGGTTGGCACACCTAACCAATCTTCTGAAGAACTGAGTGAACAGCCAATGGTATATGTGAAGATTGCAGACAGAAATTTGTAGAAGACAGTGAAAACTCAGGAGGTAATGATAGTACTCCAGGACAATAAGGTCTCTGGGACAAGTGTGGGAACCAGGTCAGCTGCAGTCTCAGACTTGTTGCCTGCTGGATCTGCCACGATTTTCTCCAGAGAGCCAGGCCAAAGGCTCCCGCCCCTGCCATTCAAGGTGTGAGGAGCAGTGGGCCTTCCCACCTGCCTTCCCAAGTAGCCTCCTTGGGCCCTGGTTACTTGAATTTGCAGGGAGGGAATGAGGATGAAGTGGCAGGCACTCAGAGGTGGTGCCCACCTGCTGAGACTTTGGACGTCTGTTGGGAAGTGTTAGGTCATGAGGGACCCTTCCCAGAATACATCCAGGCCTGGTTGGAGAGCTGGGCTGGGAGAGAGGCCAGGTACTTGTTTGGAGAGGCAGGCTTGATCAGGAGAAATTTTTCAAAAGCAAAAAAAAAAAAAAAAAAAAAAAGAGGCAAGAGGCACTTGGGGGCTGTTTGGGGGATTTTCCTGCAGCAGCTGTCCCCAGATTCCTGGATCCTAACCCCATCCAGCTAAGTGGTGCTCCTGCACATGGCACAGAAGGTCCTGAGATCACACCCAAAGCCCAGGTGAGGGTGAGGACCTGCAGCTGCAGAACTAGTGGCTGCCCCTCCTGCCCCAGTACTGTGGGCCAAGTGCTCATGCCCACAGGTGTGGCTTAAACTGCACCTGACCCTGCCACCCAGAGGCACCTGAAACCCAATCCCTGCACCCTGGGTGAAGCCCCAGAAGAGGCACTCACCTGCATGCACAGCAGCAGCCATGGTGGCACCCTGCCACGCAGGGCTGACTAGTTTTCTGAGATAAAGGGGAAGGCATCCCCTCTGAAGAGAACTGTGGGGCTCAGGGAGTCAGCAATCCCCAGACAGACTTCACTGTTTGTTGAGGAGGAGTGAACTAGCCTGAGGGGACTCTGAGAGTCCCTAGCATCTAGAACAAGAAAGAGCAAGAAGGTGGTGTGTGAATTGCCCACAACAGGTGCACCTCAAAGACAGCACCACTTGCTGCACTGAAGGTGCAGGCTGGGCACACAAGGACCCTGGGTGCCTGGCAGCAACCTGAGGAACTGGGCTGGAGGCTGGGAAAACTGGAAGAGTGAAGAGTGTGGCTAAGGAAGGGGGGAAAAAAACAAAACCAATTGCAGCTCAGCCTGCTGCAGCCAGGACAACCAGCAGAACTGGTCTGGGCAGTTTGAAGCCAGCAGGAGACTCCTGTATTTTTTTAAGTACTTTGTTTCTCCTTTCTTTGAACTCCTTCCTTTCTTTCTTTTTTTAATTCTTTCTTCCTTTCCTTCCTTTTATTCCTCCTTCCCTCCTTCCTTTTTTTCCTTGTAAATTACCACAAGGAAGACAATAAAACCTGGAGCTGTGAAAAACCACAGTTGGACCCATAGAGGAGTCATCCTAAGAGTTGAGACAGTGAGACAAATTTCACTTTGCAAGTTATTGTATATTTGCATTATTCTTTTCATTATTCTTACATCTCTTAGTTTACTAGTATTTTGGTAGTTATCTTTTGTTCTGTATAGTCTTCACTTGGCTTCTTAAATTGTGTTTTTGGACTTGTTTCAGTTGTTCTGTCCTTCATACAGTAGTTTTAAATTTCTGTCTTCCATTTCACTTGTGTTCCAATAGCACACTAGCCCAGTTCCTTTAGTCCCTATTCTTACCCAGATCACAGAGATTCTGTCATATGATATGTGCTCTACTACTACTGTTAACAATTGCTCTTCCATACAATTGTAAATTCTACACAGCAACCATCCCAGATCTTAGCACGCCTCACTGTTTCCTGAACTTTATTACTGTTGTGGTTAACTCTATTCTCTCACAAACTACACCTATACTCTCTCCTTGCTCTCACTTTACCTCATAATCTGACCTCCCACAAGCTCACTGCTTTCTAGATCCAACTCACAATCCTTCCCCACCCCTAACAAGAGTCTAACCTTTTTTCCACCCTTTCTAAAAAGTGGCAAGTTGGCTGAAACTTCATGGTTAACACTATACATATACAAAGGACCTCCTATCTCTTCTCTAGAGGATGGTACTTTAAATACCATAGAATACACTCCTGCTCTCTTAAACCATTTTGCCTCCCCCTTCCAACTGTTCACAAAAAAGAGCAGGTGGGAGCTGTGAGCACCAGTATACCTGCTGAGAGAGGAAACCCAGCAGCAAAGGAACCACCAACAGATACCAATGGTAGAAGGGGAAGGAGGGAGTGGAAGCCACGCTAACCTCCACCCAGGATCGATCTGGAGATACAATTAAATGGTGGACAAAGTACCCAGAACAAACAACTGAACAAGAGTGAGAGGGAAGCCACAAAACCTCATACACACAGAAGAATCAGCTTCAGTGCAACCTGTCCACACCTGCACATCAGAATGTTACTCTCATAGTTATGATATATTTCATGTACAAGAGACTTTGAAGATGTTGTTGCATTCACTCATCAGTTGATCTTAAAAAAATAGAAAGTAGTCTTGGCTGCAAGCCTCTGGTTTTCATTACTTAGAATATTTCTAAGTAACGGTGGATGGAGTGACACTCACTCAGTTAGCCAACTGGAGGGAAGGATCCACCAAAAAAAGACCCAACAACAATCAAAACCCAAAGACATACAGAGAGACAACCCAAATGATGGCCCAACACCAGTGAGCTCAGGAGATCAAGAGGTCTGCACCACTGAATCTTACAGGTTTTATACTACAGAATTTCACACCACAAACACAGGGAAGTGAGAACAGATCAATTTAAGAAGCAGAGGTTAACAAGAAGAGTCTCACAAGCAATGGGAAGACAAAGCAACAATACCAAAATATAAGGAAAGGAGGAAGCTTCAGAAAGAATGCTACATCAAACAGTGGCAAGTCAACACCCACCTATTGAATGCAAAGCAGTGATTATCAGGAAGCTCAATGAGCTCACAGAAAACTACCTAAAACTACAGGGAAACTACAATGAACTCACTGCACATAATATCAACATGAAAAGAAAAATACAAACTATGAACAAGGACCAAGAGGAAATGAAGAATACAGGTTCTGGTTTGAAGAACACAGTAAAAGGAATCAGAAGCCAGTTGGATAAGCACTGAATCATAGTGAGCTACAGACAAGGTTCAGAAAACACCCAGAAAGAGCAAGAAATGGAATAGAGGCCCAGAAAAATGAACAGGAGTTAAGGGAATTACAGGACAGCATGGAATGTAATAATGTTTATATAATAGGGATACCAGGAGGAGAAGGAGTAGAGCAAGGGATAGTAAATCTTTTTCCGAAAATCATGCTGGAAAACTTCCATAATTTGATGAGAGAGAAAAAAAAGAAAAGAAAACACATTGCTGGAAACACAGAGGGTCCCAATGAAGGCGAACCATAAGGAGCCCAGCCCAGAATACATAATAATTAAAATGGCCAACACCAAAGAGAAAGAATCTTCAAGGCAGCAAGGCAGAAACAGAAAGTAACATACTAGGGAACCTCAATAAGACCAGCAGCTGACTTCTGAATGGCAACACTACCAGCCAGAAGTGTAGGCAAGAAATATTCTAAGTAATGAAAACCAGAGGCTTGCAACCAAGACTACTTTCTATTTTTTTTTAAGATCAACTGATGAGTGATTGCAACAACATCTTCAAAGTCTCTTGTGCATGAAATATATCATAACTATGAGAGTAACATAAAGGGATAGAGATCAAGGCAGGGGGCAAAATTCTACCACATGGGGCAAATCTGGTACTGGAAAACACATGGTGATAGTCATATTTTGGAGCAGTTAGTAGCTTGAGTGGTTTGAGATCTGGCTGTGGTGCTTCTTAGCTATATTCTCTAAGCTTCATTTCTATAACCCATCAATACAAATAATGATAGAAACTTATAAGTTAATGAGAATATCAAATTATAAATATATATATATATATATATATATATATATATATATATATAAGCATCTGTCTTATAGGTCATGCACAACAAATGTCAGCTATGATTATTATCATTTCTATTTTAATTCTCAATCCATTTTATTTTCATTTTTGTGAAAGTAAGAACTGCACATTGTGGAATTACATGTAGCACAAGTATGGCTGGCGTGGAAAGTCAGTTTACGCCTCCATTCTCACTCCACAAAGGCAATCATTTTTAATCAGTGTTGTTTTCATTTCTTTTGGGGGTTGCCTCCACATTCTACATGTGTGCTCATCATTGTTCTGTGACACTATCTGTTTGATTCCACACCATGAAAAATAGAGATTTAGATCGTTACCACTACCCTCATCTCTCTTTTTTTTCATTGTTGTTCATCATCTCTCAATAGTTGTGATATTTGTGTTTCTCCTATTAGTTACTTTTGTGATTCTTAATAAATATTCACCCCTCGTTATTTTCAGTGTTAGACACTTCTGACTCCCCACATGTAAGGAAGGATAT